TCAATTTAACTTTATTACATTAATTATATAAATATTTAAGTGGGTTTCAAGTTAAAATAAAAAATTTTAAAAAGGACTAGTTGCTATCCCTGTCTACACTAGTCTCTCCTGGCCCCATAGATAATTTTTCTATATTTGTATCACATACTCCAAATTCTCTTTTGGGGTTACTATCCATTGGTTTCCTACTGTGAGCAATACTGAAATTACTAACTTCTTCCTCCTGTCAATCCCCAGTATCTAAAGTAACTTTGTTTTTTGGGGGGCGGGGGTGGTACAGGGATTAAACTCAGGGGCACTTGACCACTGAGTCACATCCCAAGCCTTAGTTTGTATTTTTTTTTTAGAGATAGGGTTTCACTGAGTTGCTTTGCACCTCACTTTTGCTGAGGATGGCTTTGAACCCATGATCCTCCTGCCTCAGCCTCCTGAGCTATGGGATTACAGGCGTCTGGCTAAAGTAATATGTTTTTATTTAATTAATGCTTATAGTAATTCGTGAGCTTACTGTACATTTTACATGTTCTCTCCAGTTTTGATAAACTAATTTATAAAACTATACAGTGATTATACACTTCAGTCTCAATCTTAGTTCTATCAGCAAAATATGTATTTAATACTTACTATCAGTTTAAGGTATTAAAGACCATCATAAAGAATATAGCTCTCTGCTTCCTGATTGTCATATCCTGAGAGCTACTTTCCTCTTCCACATCTTTCCGACATGATGTTCTGCTTTACCTTGGGCCCAGAGGAATGCAACCAGAAACCTATGGACTGAGACCCTCTGAACCAGCCGTTTTATAGTTATCCTGGCCAGCAGGAAGAAGGAAAAGGTGGAGGTACATCTGCATCTTTACTGCCTCTATAAAAAAGGGACTTACATCACTTCCACTCAGATTTGACTATGAGAACCAGCCATCCAGGACAAGGTCAGGAAATGTCATCCCTAACTGAGCAACTACTCCCAAGTGATAGCTCCACTGTGAAAGGGGGAACACACATTATGGCTGACAGCTAGCTATCTTCCCAACAATGACTTTATCAAAAATTTCAAATGATTCCAAATTGAAATCGGTTGCTTCATCCTCACTCCTGAAAGCATTCTATTATTGTTATTATGAGTATCACCTATCTGGAGTATAGTATGAGATGTGAAGTAATGGTCAAACGCATGCAGGTACATTTTTCATGAATTGTGGCTCCACAAGTTAGTTATGGGCCCTTGAGTGAGTTCTTCTGCCTCTCAAAACCTCTGGATTGTTGGTTAATACATACATCCTAGGATTATTGTAAAAATTAAATAAAATCAGGCATTTAAAATATCAGCCGAGTGCAATAGTGCATGCCTGTAATCCCAGCGGCTAGGGAGGCTGAGGCAGGAGGATCGTGTGTTCAAAGCCAGCAAAAGCAAGGTATTAAGCAACTCAATGAGACCTTGTCTCTAAATAAAATACAAAAAAAACAATAAGGCTGGGGATGTCACTCAGTGGTCAAGTGCCCCTGAGTTCAATCCTGGGTACTCTAAATAAATAAATAATAAAATATCAGAATGTTTGACATATAGTAAAGGATTATTAGACAGTGACTAGCTGCTAATATTTTCCCCTCAACAAACTACAGGCTGAACACCCCCGTGTACTGCGTCACTGCGCAGGTGATTAGCGAGTTTAGAATGGCCAGAAGCTATCTTGTTAGGAATGTCCAGCAAAATTGGGGTGCACTGAAACCTAGAGGAAGGATTTCCAACACCCGAGGATTAGTTACTGTGGCTCAATCGCGAGTGAACCGTGGGCCTGGAGATTCAGGCTGATTGATCAGCGGCCCAGCCCGTAGCTGGAGCCTGCGTGCCGGCATGCCAGCAACTCAGAGAAACAGTGCTACGGATTCTGTGGGGTCCTGCCAACTGTGCCCTCACAGTGCTCCAGGCTGAGTTCTGGGTTTGTGTTGGGGGAGAGAAACAGTCCAGATCTGCCCTCCACACCGGACACCCAACGGAGGAAGCCAGCAGCCACCATATTGGGGAGCTGACGTCACCATCGCCAGTTTCCGACAGATCCAACCCCATTGCAGGAAGTTCAGCGATAGAACAGGTGTGTGACCTTTAGCCCTTCTCCCATACAGCGGGGAAATCGCGTAAAATCTCTCCCCGGCTTTCCGGGGGCGTATCAGAGTAAGCGTGAATAGAGGTGTGGGGAAAGGTAAAGGCACCTGACCTTCAACTCCCCCCTCCCACCAGCGGCGAAAACAAAACCTGTCTCGCCAGCTCTCGGAGGAGTGGCTATTGGAGGGAATGGAAAGAATAGGGGGCTGGTTCCCAATACCAGTGCTCCACATCCAGGGAACTGCAGGCCCAGAGTGTAGCTTGAACTGTGAAGAGGTATCACACTGGGGAAGGCCTAGCTGGTGGGAGAAGTGAGGAAACTAGAGACCAGGAACAACCCTAAGTGAACTGGGTTGGAGAGACACCAGGTGGGGGAGGAAGGAGCGGCCTCATACAGATTGTTTCCTACAGCGCGAGGGCAAAATCTTGGTCAGGAAAGCACAACTCCACCTACTGGAAGTGAAGAAAACAGAAGCCTAACAGTGCATTTTTTTTAACCGTAATTTTTATTTTACTTTATTTTATTATTATTTTTTATCATTTCTTCTTTTTCTTTTCTATTTTTTTCTCTTTCTTTCTTCTTTCCCTCTCTGTCTCTTGGTTTGCTTCCTTACCTTTTCCCTATCTTTCCTCCCAAGCATGATCACTCCAATTACGTGTAATTTACTAAATGCAAACAGATAAATATTACGAGTCGGTCTATAGTCCGCCTAAGCCCTTAACTACCCGCAAGTACTCCTGTCTATTCTCTTGTTAATATCCGCCTGCATTTGAGCAACCCCCAAAGAAGCTAAGATATACTAACCTCCATACCATCATATCTCCCAACCTTAACATAAAATCCTAAGTTCAAACCTCAATTCTCTATATGCCATCAAAATCTATAGGCCTTTAATGAAACTAATGAATTTACCTTAAATCACAATTAAATCTAACAGCTCTAAATATTCTCTCCCAACACAAAGGAGAGATCTTGAAGCTATACAAAACCAAAACAAATTTATAGGAGAAAACAGAAACACAGCAGTCAAACAGAGTTGGAAAGTAACGTGAGCACCATGAAAAAACAAGGGAAAAAAGGATTACACACAATGCAGGATAACTTAAATTTACAGGAGAACCTAGAGATATCAGATAAAGAACTCAAGGCATACCTGACTCAGATGGAATGGAATCTTAAAGAAGTCATTAAACAGCAAGTCCAAACAATGAAAGAATACTTTGAAAATGAATTACATAAACAGATACAAGAAGCAAAAAAATCAACTCTACCAGGAGATAGAGATTTAAAAAAAGAATCAAACAGTAATCCTAGAAATGCAGGAAACCATAAACCAAATAAAAAACTCAAATGAGAATATTACAAGTAGACTAGATCAAGTAGAAGTCAAAACATCAGATAATGAAGACAAAGTATATCTACTTGAAAAGAATATAGTCAACGAAGAAAGGCTGGTAAAAAACCAAGAGCAAAACATCCAAGAGATATGGGATGTCATAAAAAAACCAAACTTAAGAGTCATTGGGATAGAGGAAGGTATAGAGGTCCAAACCAAATGAATGAGCAATCTGTTGAATGAAATAATTTTAGAAAACTTTCCAGACATGAAAGATGGAATGGATTGCCAAACCCTGAAAGCCTACAGGACCCCAAACATACAAAACCGTAATAGACCCAACTCCAAGACAGACTATTAAAAGCTACAAGAGAAAGGAGGCAGATTACATTCAGGGGTAAACCAATTAGGTTAAGGGCTGATTTTTCATCACAGACATTGAAAGCAAGAAGATCCTGGAACAACGTATTTCAAACACTAAAAGATAATGGATTCCAACCAAGAATATTGTATCCAGCAAAATTAAGCTTCAGATTTGACAATGAAATTAAAATATCTCACGATAAACAAAAGTTAAAAGAATTCGCAGCCAGAAAACCAGCACTGCAAAGCATTTTGAGCAAAACACTACAAGAAGATGAAATGAAAAACAGCATCCAAAACCAACAGTGGGAGGTAACTCAGTAAAGGGGGGAAAATAATCAAAGAGGAAAAACAAGCCAAATTAAAATAAATAAATAAACAAACAAAACAAACAAACATGACTGGAAGTACAAACAAAAAATATCAATAGTAACTCTAAACGCTAATGGGTCAAACTCACCAATTAAGCGACATAGGCTAGTAACTTGGATTAAAAAAACAGATCCAACAATATGCTGCCTTCAGGAGACTCGTATGATAGGAAAAGACATTCACAGGCTGAAGGTGAAAGGTTGGGAAAAATCATATCACTCACATGGTCCTCGGAAGCAAGCAGGAGTGGCCATACTCATATCAAATAAAATCAACTTCAAACCTAAGTTAATCAAAAAAAGAAGGACACTATATACTGTTAAAAGGAACCATTCACCAACAAGACATAACAATTATCAAATAATGGTGCTGCAACGTTCATAAAACAAACTGTCCTCAATTTCAAGAATCAAATAGACCACAACACAATAATTATGGGCGACTTCAACACACCTCTCTCACCACTGGACAGATCCTCCAAACCAAAGTTGAGGAAAAAACTATAGAACTCAAGAACATAATCAGTAACCTAGACTTAACCGACATATAAAGAATATATCAACCATCATCAAGTGGATATACGTTTTTCTCAGCACCACATGGATCCTTCTCAAAGATAGACCATATATTATGCCATAGGGCAACCCTTAGTAAATATAAAGGTGTAGAGATAATACCATGCAGGGACAAGAGGTGGGAGGGAAAGGGAGAGAGAAGGGAAATTGCATAGAAATGGAAGGAGACCCTCAATGTTATACAAAATTACATATAGGAGGAAGTGAAGGGAATAGGAAAAACCAAGGGAGAGAAATGAATTACAGAACATGGCGGACGAGGAAGTAGTTATTTTACCAAAGAAACATAAGAAAAAGGAGCGGAAGTCTTTACAAGAAGATGATGTAACTGAAATACAACATGCTGAAGAATTTCTTATCAAACCAGAATCCAAAGTGGCTCAGTTGGATACATCTCAGTGGCCCTTGTTGCTAAAGAATTTCGATAAGCTAAATGTAAGGACAACATACTATACACCTCTTCCTTGTGGTTCAAATCCTCTGAAGAGGGAGATTGGGGACTATATCAGGACAGGTTTTATTAATCTTGACAAGCCCTCTAACCCCTCTTTCCACGAGGTGGTAGCCTGGATCCGACGAATACTTCGGGTAGAGAAGACAGGACACAGTGGTACCTTGGATCCAAAGGTGACTGGCTGTTTAATCATGTGCATAGAACGTGCAACACGTTTGGTGAAATCACAACAGAGTGCAGGCCCTAGAAACTCTGACAGGTGCCCTGTTCCAGCGACCCCCACTTACTGCTGCAGTAAAGAGGCAACTCCAAGTGAGGACTATGTATGAGAGCAAAATGATTGAATATGATCCTGAAAGAAGACTAGGAATCTTTTGGGTGAGTTGTGAGGCTGGCACCTACATTCGGACACTGTGTGTACACCTTGGCTTGTTGTTGGGAGTTGGCGGTCAGATGCAGGAACTTCGGAGGGTTCGTTCTGGAGTCATGAGTGAAAAGGACCATATGGTGACAATGCATGATGTGCTTGATGCTCAGTGGCTATATGATAACCACAAGGATAAGAGTTACCTGTGGCGAGTTGTTTACCCTTTGGAAAAGCTGTTGACATCCCATAAACGATTGGTTATGAAAGATAGTGCAGTAAATGCAATCTGCTATGGGGCCAAGATTATGCTGCCAAGTGTTCTCCGATATGAAGATGGCATTGAGGTCAACCAGGAGATTGTGGTCATCACTACCAAGGGGGAAGCAATCTGCATGGCTATTGCGTTGATGACAACAACAGTGATCTCTACCTGTGACCATGGTATAGTAGCAAAGATCAAGAGAGTGATTATGGAGAGAGACACCTACCCTCGGAAGTGGGGTTTGGGTCCAAAGGCAAGTCAGAAGAAGCTAATGATCAAGCAAGGTCTTCTGGACAAGCATGGCAAACCCACAGATAACACTCCTGCCACCTGGAAGCAGGAGTACACTGACTACAGTGATTCTGGGAAAAGAGAGGTGGTTGCTAAAGTATTAAAAACCACACCTTTAGTTACTGAAGTGGTAAAAGCCCCACAGGTAGTTTCTGACGCTGTAAAAGTCCCAAAGCGGAAGCGAGAGAGTGAGAGTGAAAGTGATGAGAACCCTCCAGCAGCTCCCCAGTTGATCAAGAAGGAAAAGAAGAAGAATAAGAAAGACAAAAAGGCCAAAGCTGCATTAGAGCATGGGGACGAGCCTGGAGATGGGGACAGTGACACCACAAAGAAGAAGAAGAAGAAGAAAGCAAAAGTGGTGGAAGTGATGTCTGAGTAGTGAGGGTGACATTAAGCCTTGTGCCCAGGTGGTGGGAGAGATGAAAGCCTTATTGAGAAAACAGTTTCTTTTGTTTTGAGGGAGTAGAACAAAGGTTCTGGACAGGGTGGAGAGTTCTGGCACATTTTAGCTGCTACTTAAAACCTCAGTGATACTACTTGTTGTGGTCATCCCATCTTGTCCTGTTTTAAGGATGTGGGTGGATAAAAAAAAAAAAAAAGGCAGATTGTATGCCATTGACTTCTATGCTTGCTTGAGTTGGGAAGCCTCAGTTTCAGACCTAGAACTGTCCAGTAACTGTCTGGATCTGTTCATTAATGACCATTTTTAACATTATAGTTCTCTCCTACTTTATTCTGGTTTTGTTTTTTTTTTTAACTTTGTTCAAAAAGTTTGTAAAATTAAGTCTGCTCAATGAAACGGTGTAGAACTCTTGATAAATGAAAGAGTAACTGAACCAACGTGTTCACTGGGGAAATCTTGTCTCCAATGGCCTTTGAGGACAGTGGTCTATTCTGGTGTTGGGTATGGGCCTCACAGGCCCAGTACTGTCCATCTTGTTTCTGGCCTAGCCGTCAGTCCTTTGTGTACTCGTCCAGTGCTTGTGTGTTCAGCAGCATTTACCCAAATCCATCTGGCTACTTGTGTTTGTGACAGAAACAACTTTTCCTGTACCCTCATGTTATAAACCCTCATTTACATTTGAAGAATGGACTTGCTTATTGCTGGGAGAAGAGTGTTGTAATTTTTACATATTAAAGTTGACTCATGGCATTTCAAAAAAAAAAAAAAAAGAAATGAATTACAGTAGATGGGGTAGAGAGAGAAGATGGGAGGGGAGGGGGGGGGATAGTAAAGGATAGGAAGGGCAGCAGAATACAACAGACACTAGTATGGCACTACGTAATAACCGATGTGATTCTGCAATCTGTATACGGGGTAAAAATGGGAGTTCATAACCCACTTGAATCAAATGTATGAAATATGATATGTCAAGAGCTTTGTAATGTTCTGAACAACCGATAATAAAAAAACACAAACTATAGGCTTATTAAAAGTAGAAGAACCTTTACAGATTTCCATCACTCAATATAGTGCTTGTCACTGACACATGAAAAGGGCCCAATAATGTTGAAGGGATTTATATAGGAGCTGATCTGGTCTTTGCAAAAGAAGTGTAAACAGGAACAAAACAAATTCATTTTATCGAAGCAGCTAGAAACCATATATTTTAATTGGTCTCTCACTTATCTATAATGCTGAAAAGCACAAGGAAAGATGATCTTATTCATGACTCTGTCATAAATCTACTTGATGCCTAATCCATGTTTCTCTGGAAAATGAAGTTCTCTAAGATCCCTCGGTTGCCCATTCCCATTCCTCATCACTCAATGCTGAGAAATTCTTCCCTAAATAAGGGACATGTTTCCCCTATAGCAGTGAAGGAGAAAAACCTTTGAGTAATTGCAGAAATTAAATAAGGCTTCGGCTTTTCCTGTTTAAATAAAACCCTTTAATCTTTCTTTATATGATAAATATTTTTTAATTTAAATGTTTTTGTCCTTGTTACTAGAATTCAATTTTCTTTTCAGAAATGATATCCCAAACTGAATACATACTTAAATAAATGTATAATATTCTCCTTATAAAAAAAAGAATAAAGGGCCCCTTAAGAAGTAGAAACCTTTGGAGCCAGACATGTTCTAAGATTCACTTTTTTTTTTTTTAATCAAATTAAAGTAGCTATTGAAAGCATTCCAACAAAGAAAAGCCCAGGACAGGATAGACTCTCAGCTGAGTTCTACCAGACCTTTGTGGGGGTTTTTCTAATATAACCTATTATTTGAAACAGCTGTCCCAATGATGTCTTTTTTCCCCTATTAAAATGCACTTTTAAAAGAAGATTAAAGTACATCACACTAATACTAATCTATGCAACAGTCTTTTAGGTGTAACTAAGAATTTTCAAGCTAAAAAAAATGAGGGAAAGAACACTGAGACATGAGATGAACATGGTTTAGAATTTTGGTTCTAGTGAGGAGTTAATTTAATTTTGGGAGTAAGAGGTATGTTTGATTGACTTTTCTAAAAAAATTATATATTGTTAGTGTTCTCTTAGTATTTCTAGTTATAATTTTTTTAAAAAAAATGTTCTGTGGTATTGTTGATGGAAAGTAAAGCCTCACCACATGCTAACCAAGCATTCTAACCCAGTTATGGAAAAAATAATCTGCTATAAACATAATAAACATGGTCTAAAGTTCATTCTCTCAGCTTTTTAAAATTATTTGAAAAAGAAAATCTTCAAAGAGTTATAACCTAGGAATAGTCACTAAGGAAGTCTTATAGATAATATTTCTTAAAGAGGGTAAGAAAACCCAAATCAATAAAAGAATCATTAAAAGAGATATTCAATTATTAGAGTTCTAAAATGATGTTTTTAAAGTAATTATCAGCAGTAGTGTACATTAATTGTACCAAATAATGAGTTTCACTGTGAGATTTCCATATATGCATATAACATGCTTTGATCACATCTTCCCTATTATCTCCTGTAACCCCTTCACCCTAACCCTGGTCTTCTTCCTCTTTCCTGATAGTTCCCCTATTACTTTCACATTGTCATCCCCTCTTCCTAGATTCCACATGAGAAAACATCAACACTTGTCTTTCTGAGTCTAACTGACTTTCTTGAATATGATGGTCTCTAGTTCCATCCTGGAGATGACATAATTTTCTGCAAATGACATAATCTTTCTTTTTGGGTGAATACTATTATTCCATTGTGTATCACATTTTCTATATGCATTCATCCATCAATGAGCATCTAGGCTGATTCCATAATTAAAGTGTTGCGATAAACATGGATACGCAGGTTATCTCTTTTATATGCCCACTTTGATTCCTTCAGGTAAATAACCAGGAGTGGTATATGTTTTTTCTCATTCATGAAAATTAAAATCTATATTAAATACTAAACTTGAAAACTACTGTGTAATCAGATGTATATTAAGACTTAATTTAATTAGTATGTCAATATTTACGATTATGTTTTTGCCTTCTATTAACAGAGTTTGAAAAGTTGGGATTTATTCTGAGTCTTAAGAAAATTTTAAAGGTTACAGGAACATATCACAATATACAAAGAGCATATCTGCTAAATGTTCTCTTCTCCATCTACCCCAAAATCTTTTTCCTAACCTCATTTAGAAGAATAATACGTTTGTTGTTTAAAGTTTTAAAAATTACTCATAAGAATATAGAGAAAGGTAAGTCTCTAAAATCTACTCTCCCCACAAAGATAACTTGAACAATCTAATTTCAATTTTTCTAGGGTTTTAACATAACTTTAAACAAAATATAACAAGAGTTTTGTAAAAAATTACTTTCATAGCATATCAGCATTGTAGGAATACTGCCACATAAAAAATTTTACTTTGCCTTTAAAAATCCTAAGGCATGAACCTGTAATCTCAACACTCAGGAGGCTGAGGTAGAAGAATCACCTGAGCTCAGGAATTCAAGACCAGCCTGGGCAATATGGTGAGCCCCTCTTTCAAAACTATGGGCTGGAATTGTGGCTCAGTGGTACATTGCTTGCCTAGCATGAGTGAGGCACTGATTTTGAGTCTCAGCATCACATATAAATAAACAAAGCCCACTGACAATTAAAAAAATATTTTAAAAAAAGATGTCTACATAGAACTGCATTATGTATGTACGCCATAATTTACACAACCAAATCTATAAAGGTTCACCTCCAGGTTTTCAATATTATAAACGGTGTTACAATGCTGTTACATTTTTACCCATTCAATCTCATTAGAATAAATTTCAAAAAGTATAATTAGATTAAAAGATATATATTTCTAGTTCTGAGATGCGCTGTCAGAAAAGGTGCAATTTATACTTATGGCACCTTTCATGAAAATGTACAAAATGCTGGGCGTTACTAGGGTGTTACTAACTTCTGCAATCTGATAGATGAGAAATGATGCCATTGTTATTTTAATTATTAATTATTAGGGGAATTGAATTTCAATATATTTATTAGTCCCTTTTTTAATATTTATCTTTTAGGTGTAGATGAACACAACACAATGCCTTTATTTATTTATTTATTTATTTATTTATTTTTAATGTGATGCTGAGGATTGAACCTGGGGTCCCACCCATTCTAGATGAGCACTCTACCACTGTGCCACAATCCCAGCCCCAGTCCCTTTATTGCTTTATAATTTTTGCCCATTTTTTTTCCTATTCGGCTGTTCTTTTAATTGATTTGCAACACTTTCTATATTAATGTGAAAATATAAAGAGACTACTCAAATTAACTTGTTAAAACTTCATGGCTTTTGTCATAAATGTTTAGGTTTCTTTCTTTTCTTTCTTTTTTTTGTTGGTTTTTTTATTTTTGGGGTTTTTTTTTGGTGGTGCTAGGGTTTGAACCCAGGGCTTGTGTATGCAAGGCAAGTACTCTACCAACTGAGCTATATACCCAGCCCAGATTTTTTTTTTTTTTTTTACATAGTCAATATTGTCAGTCTTCTCCTTTTCAACTTCTGGCTTTCACATTTCTTGCTGTAAACGTTTTTGTTAGAAAACAAATTTATATGTAAGGAGTTAGGACAATATTTGATAAAATTCTTTCAATTTGTGTTATAATCTCTAAATTAGACTATGAGGGTAAACACTTTAATCAGGACAGAAAGCTCAAATTAGAGTTTATAATACAATTATTATTGCTTAGGTAATTCAGTGTACCATTTCAAATATTTTTATTAAATCCTAAATATAAGTATAACTCAATTACCTATTTCTGGGAAATTAGATGGATAGATTTCCTAAATACCTGAAGGATGCTTTGAGTAGCATCCTTCACATCCTTCACACACAGAAATGCACAGTGTTCAGCCTGTCCTCCACTTCAACTTCTTGAGTCCTCTGAGCCCTTTGTCCTGCTATTTGTACAACAGGTATTTCTCTTCAGTCATCAATAGGCCTGACCTCTAGAGTACTACCTAAACCATTTCTAAACTGCCTTTCCTAAGCTTTTGTTAATGCCTTTCTGTTTTCGACTACAAACTAGAAAACACTAAGGACTAACAAGGGTCAGATGAAAAAACATTATGCCAAAATAAGGAAATCTCTATCCTCAAGTAGTGGTAAAGTAAAAGCTTTGTCATAACTATACCTCAGAAATTCAAGTATACTTATTTCTTTATTTTATTACTATTATTTTTTTTG